TAGTTGCAGAAAGTTTGAGAGATGAGACACAGCAACAAAGGGTCACAATGGGAAGTTGAAGGCTCAGATGAGTCACAGGGATGTTAGGAAGTATTTCTTTAGTCACAGAGTTGTCAGGAAATGGAATAGTCTGGAGAGTGAGGTAGTGGAGGCAGGATCCATACATAACTTTAAGCAGAGATGCGATAAATCTCATGGAGTAGGGAGAGAGTGGACAGAGTAGCGACCATCGAAGATATGGGGCCAGGAGCTGTAACTCAACCCCAGTAACTACAGATAGGCGAGTACACACACACACACACACACACACACACACCACACACACACACCCACACACCACCCACACACACACACACACACACACACACACACACACACACCACCCACACACACACACCCCACACACACACCCACACACACACACACCACACACACACAACACACACACACACACACACACCAAGAGACAAAAAACAAATTAAAGCAAACAAGGGTTTTATAAAACGTTAATTTACCGACGTACGAATGAATGGCAGCTCCTGGGAGATAATAGAGATAGTTCACTATCTTGAATGTGGCAGGTGAGGTGCGTGAACTAGTACCTACAATGAACTATTACCTACACCATGGCTACTAGTACCTACACTGTACTGGTACCTGCACTGTCAACTAGCACCTACACACTGTACTGGTACATACACTGTCAACTAGTACCTACACACTGTACTGGTACCCACACTGTCAACTAGTACCTACACACTGTACTGGTACCTACACTGTCAACTAGTACCTACACACTGTACTGGTACCTACACTGTCAACTAGCACCTACACACTGTACTGGTACCTACACTGTCAACTAGTACCTACACACTGTACTGCTACCTACACTGTCAACTAGTACCTACACACTGTACTGGTACCTACTCTGTCAACTAGTACCTACACACTGTACTGGTACCTACACTGTCAACTAGTACCTACACACTGTACTAGTACCTACACTGTCAACTAGTACCTACACACTGTACTGGTACCTACACTGTCAACTAGTACCTACACACTGTACTGGTACCTACACTGTCAACTAGTACCTACACACTGTACTGGTACCTACACTGTCAACTAGTACCTACACACTGTACTGGTACCTACACTGTCAACTAGTACCTACACACTGTACTGCTACCTACACTGTTAGCTGGCGTTTACAGAGGTAGTGTCTCATAATCGAAGGTACGCGGGTTCGATCCCGGGGCTCTTGAAGACGCTGAACATGTTTCTTAACTCTAGTTGCCTCTGTTCACCTAGCAGTAAGTAGGTACCTGGGTGTTAGTCTCCGTACACCTGGTGCCCTTGTTCACCTAGAAGTCGGTACCCGGGTGTCTGGCGACTCTTGTGGGTGGCATCCTGGGCGGGGGTGAGGGATCATGTGTCCCCACTTCATCAGTCACTGATGTCCTTTTCTACCACATCAATGTTATTGATTGACTTCACATCAGTCACTGAAGTCCCTCTCTATAACCACATCAATATTATTGACTTCACCACATAAATCACCGAAGTCCCTCTCTATAACCACATCAATATTATTGACTTCACCACATAAATCACTGAAGTCCCTCTCTATAACCACATCAATATTATTGACTTCACCACATAAATCACTGAAGTCCCTCTCTATAACCACATCAATATTATTGACTTCACCACATAAATCACTGAAGTCTCTCTATTACTACATCAATATTAATTGCATTAATGTTCTGGATTATGTCACTGTATTATACAACAGGTGTTGTATTCCTGACTGCTAATGAGAGTGACATACAACGCGGCGTAGAAATTGATCATTATCCCTCAGGGAAGACTTCAACCTCCAGTATTTTTCCATTATTCATTGTATTTTAACGTTCATTATACTTTTTCATTCATTATACTTCATTATTTTTTATTTGTTATATTTCAACGTTCATTATGTTCACCATGACAGGTTTTTGATCCAAGGATCTGGAGCTGCTCTTCCCTTGAATCAAACCTGAGTGCCATTCACTGAATGGCCACTACGGATTTAGAGCTTCCCCGTGAATGATAATAATAATAATAATAATAATAATAATAATAATAATAATAATAATAATAATAATAATAGTAATAATAATAACGATACTCAGAACGTACCCAGACACACTCAGATCCTGGATGAATCTGGAGTCAACTGGATGAATTCTGATTGATCTGCCTACAGCTGGATGGATCTGGGTGCAACTAGATGGTTTTGGAGGCAGCTGGTTGAATTTGGAGGCAGCTGGATGGAGCCAGAATCAGATGGCTGCTGATTGAGGTTAAAGGGGGTTAAAGCCTATCTAGTAAGTTTATTTAGGTACAGGTACACATACGTATAATTATCATACATAGTTTAACATACGTGTAAATTACCTAGGATGACCCGTGGGGGAAGTGGAGAAGAATTCTTCCTCCGTAAGCCATGCGTGTCGTAAGAGGCTGCTAAAATGTCGGTAGAAAGGGGCTAGTAACCCCCCCCTTCTCATGTACTTAAATACCAGGAGAGGGTTTCGAGGGTCAACGCCCCCACGGTCCGGTCCCTGATCAGGCCTCGTAGAGAATCAGAGCTTGATCAACAAGGCTGTTACTGCTGGCTGCACGTAAACCGACGTACGAGCCACAGCCCGGCTGGTCAGGTACTGACTTTAAGTGCCTGTCCAGCTCCTTCTTGAAAATAGCCATGGGTCTATCGGCAATCCCCCTTATGTATGCTGGGAGGCAGTTGAACAGTCTAGGGGCCCCTGACACGTATTGTGTTGTCTCATAGCGTACTCGTGGCGCCCCTGCGTTTTACTGGGGGATGCTGCATCTCCTGCCTAGTCTTTTGCTTTCGTAGGGAGTGATTTTCGAGTGCAGATTTGAGACTAATACTTACAATGGATATTGTCCCGAATCTTGATTTTTGAGGTACCCTCGACTGCAAAAACAAAAAAAGGAAGGCAGAGAAGGTATGCAAAAGATGGTAACCATTTCTACCATGACAAGTCTGGATGAGCTGCAGGGGACTCAATATTTGCCCAGAAATATTTGCATGGGAATGGAAAATTGCGTTTTGGAATTTTCTCCCCTGGTATGTGTACACCCCGCATGGAAAAGGTGAGTTGAAGAGTGCAGGGGTGAGATAGAGAGAGGGGGAGAGAGAGACAGCGAGAGGGGGGAAGGGGGTGAAGTGCCATAAAGAGGGGTTGGGAGGGGAAGGAGGAAATTTTTATGGGATAATAGTGAAATAAGTAATATTAAACTGCCAGCAGAGTGCGCAATCCATCGTGCTACGTAATGCAGTCTTGTGTGTTTGACACGAGATGTTCCTGGACTTATTACAACCCACCTACCTTACTTTCTACAACCACATACTACGATCATAACCGACTACATGAGATGTTCCTGGGCTTATTACAACCCATCTACCTTACTTTCTACAACCACATACTACGATCATAATCAGACTACATGAGATGTTCCTGGGCTTATTACAACCCATCTACCTTACTTTCTACAACCACATACTACGATCATAATCAGACTACATGAGATGTTCCTGGGCTTATTACAACCCATCTACCTTACTTTCTACAACCACACACTAAGATCATAATCAGACTACATGAGATGTTCCTGGGCTTATTACAACCCATCTACCTTACTTTCTACAACCACACACTACGATCATAATCAGACTACATGAGATGTTCCTGGGCTTATTACAACCCATCTACCTTACTTTCTACAACCACACACTAAGATCATAATCAGACTACATGAGATGTTCCTGGACTTATTACAACCCACCTGCCTTACTTTCTACGCCCTCACGCTAAGATCATAACCAAACTACATGAGATGTTCCTGGGCTTATTACAACCCACCTGCCTTACTTTCTACGCCCACACACTAAGATCATAACCAGACTGCCATTGTTACAAACACCTTATCCTTAAAAGGAAGAGAATATCACTAAGACAGTTAACAAAGTGTATCTTACGATTTAGTAAGTGAATGTAGGGCAAAATATTACAATAATCTACGACACTCTATACAGCACTTCTGGTTGTGGCACTGGTGGAGGTGCTGTATCAGTCAGTGGAGCAGCACTAATAGAGGTACTGTATCAATCAGAAGACCAGCACTAATAGAGGTACTTTACCAATCAATGTACCAGCACAGAGAGGCAATGTACCAATCAGTGTACCAACACTCATAAAAGCGCTGTACCAATCAGTGGACCAGTACTCGTAGAGGCACTGTACCAATCAGTGGACCAGCATGGGCTTAGAAATAGCAACTCCTATCTGGCAAACGTGATGAAGATCTATGAGAAAAAACAGAAGAGAGATAGAAAGAGAAAGAGAGAGAGGAGGAGAGAGAGAGAGAGAGAGGAGAGAGAGAGGAAAAGAGGGAGAGGAGAAGGAGAGAGGGGAGAGAGAGAGAGAGAGGAGGGCTATATTCCCCACTGACATACGATAACTCTCACATGATGTCAAGTATATGACCAAGGCTTGTAGTAAATAGACATATATATAGTTACAGTGGGGGTTATCATAAGTATGCGAGGACCGTAGCCGGAAGAGATTCCTAATTGTAATCTTTGACAAACACGTTGCGATATGTACATACATGTTTATATATATATATATATATATATATATATATAATATATATATATATTATATATATATAAAATATATATATATATATAAAAACAAACAGGCCTTTAAATTCCCTTACATTATTATGTTAGGCAAGCTCTAAACCCTTATGGGCCATACAGTGCCTGGGAGGTAATCAGATTTGATCCGAGGAAGGAGAGACTCTGAAATACCTTGGTTCGAACCCTTCTCCCACATCAAGGGATCCTATTTGAAGAGATTTGACGCTGCTTAACTCTTGGAGTTGAAATTTGGATCACATTCAGACGATACACAGATGAATTTTTGCTATTTTATTATGAGTTTATATTACAGGAAGTTGAAGACATACAAAATATTACTACTAATGTTAAGTGTGGCGTCTTACCAGCCAGAGCTCCTTAAGACAACTGTCGTAACTCTCTCATATGATTCAATAATATTTACACAAAATAAATACCCACTGTCTTAATATTACAGAAATATTGCTACACTGTCTCTATTATCTTTAATATAGCCACAGTGAAAAGTAGTAGTCGTAGTAGTAGTAGTAGTCGCAATAGTAGTAGTAGTAGTAGTACTAATAATAGTAGTAATAGTAGTAGTAATAGTAATAGTAGTAGGAGTAATAGTAGTAGTAGTAATGGTAGTAGTAGTAGCAGTAGTAATAGTAGTAGTAGTAATGGTGGTAGTAGTAGTAATAATAATAGTAATTGTAATAGCAGTAGTAGTAGTCGTAGTAGTAGTAGTAGTAGTAGTAGTAGTAGTAGTAGTAGTAGTAGCAGCAGCAGCAGTAGTAGTCGCAATAGTAGTAATAATAATAGTAATAGTAGTCGTAGCAATAGTAGTAGCAGTAATAGTAGCAGTAATAGTAGTAGTAGTAATGGTAGTAGTAGTAGTAGCAGTAGTAATAGTAGCAGTAGTAATAGTAGTAGTAGTAATGGTGGTGGTAGTAGTAGTAGTAGTAACAATAATAGTAGTAATAATAATAGTAGTAGTAATAATAATAGTAATAGTAATAGCAGTAGTAGTAGTAGTAGTAGTAATGGTAATAGCAGTAGTAGCAATAGCAATAGTAGTAATAGCAATAGTAATAATAGCAATAGTAGTAATAGAAGTAGTAGTGGTACTACTACTACTACGAGCGATGTCGTGATATCTCACATTACCAAGAACATCTATAATGTGAGAGATCACGAACAAATTCGTACAACAACTGCGTATTTAGATATCACCTGTTTCCCGTGATCATATTGCAGTATCTAAGATGTATGAACAGACTTACGACTCTACTGGTTTTATTCTTAATGTTATGGAAAACTATACATAAAGTATTTACAGATGTAAGTCTCTCAGTGCTGTAAAATTGTGGATGAAAGACCAGTATGGCTAAAGACGTGTGGTACTTTAGATACCTAAGTGTTGCACATGTGTCTCATTCATCAATTGGTTGATTTTGGTTACCATTGTGTATAACTAACAAAGTTGAATGTCTACAAGACTTCTTCAGAGTAGCCAGTGAGCACACAAGAGCTCAATAACGCAGCCAGTGAGCATAAAAGATCTTAGTAATGTAGTCAGTGAGCACATCATAGCTCGACAATTAACCTTGTGGTCAGAAAATTCATACCATTTACCTTCTGAAGGTTCCCCGTTGTGAGGATCAACAAACGTACACCACACAGCTACAGCCGTAAACAATGACACCGGGGCCAGGAGCTAGAACGCGACCCCTGCAACCTTAACTAGGTGATTACACCTCTCACAGTGATAGTCTAATGACTAGTGTCAAAACTGCTGTCAGTATCTCTGCCGCGTCTCAGTAACTCGATTACAACGAGGTGTGACCTTACATACACCTCAACCAGCAACTATCTGTTAAATGCTTCAGACACAATACCGTCACTCAGAACTCTAAATTAAGCGAATAAATAACTCAGTGAATTCTTGCATTGGTGTCTTAACTGTAAGGACTGTAATATGTTGTCTTGAAATTCTCAGACTTACTTTATCAGTGTCACATAAATCATGGACACGGCCCTAAGATAATTCCGGGTTTCAATAGCAAAAGTCCAGCTATTGTTTCTTACAAACATTAGTGTCCTCTATTGGTGTGGGCGGTGCTGGAGGAAGTGCTGGAGGAGGAGGAGGAGGAGGAGGACGAGAAGAAGGAGGAGGAGGAGGAGGATGAGAAGGAGGAGGACGAGAAGAAGGAGGAGGAGCAATGGAGAGTCAGCTTGGAGTATTCTCCAGCGCTGCTGTCACCACCAGAAGCAGCGTCGCCAGCAGCAGTACTATCACCAGCTGTTGTTGCTGTTGTCCCACGCGACCACTGCCACTGCCTGTTGAAAACACAACATAAATCGTCATTTGTATACCAAGTTTAAAAAAAAGAAGAAAAAAGTAAATGTGAGTGCACTGCATGACAGAAGAACCAAATACTTAGAGGTCATGATGCGGGTGACAGGGATACCCTGCTCATGAGGCAGGATAATATGTAGTGGAAGTGGCTCATGTAGTAGAACTGATTAATGTAGTGGAACTGGTTCATGTAGTGGAACCAGTTCATGTAGTGGAACTGGTTCATGTAGTGGAACCGGTTCATGTAGTGGCACCGGTTCATGTAGTGGAACTGGTTCATGTAGTGGCACCGGTTCATGTAGTGGAACCAGTTCATGCAGTGGAACCGGTTCATATATTGGAATCGGTTCATGTAGTGGCACCGGTTCATGTAGTGGAACCGGTTCATGTAGTGGAACCGGTTCATGTAGTGGAACTGGTTCATTTAGATTGCAGAAGATAACAAAGGCTAAAGTACACAGAGAGAGAGAGAGAGAGAGAGAGAGAGAGAGAGGCCACCATGAGATGTCAGGCATCATCAGCTGTGAGGTATATAACACCGACACGGTGGTGAACAACTCACACCTGTGAAACACCTGGGTTTCTTTAATGTCTTATTCATCAGGGTGCCTTGATGATGAAGTGCTCTTGATTCCGGGAATTAGAACCATTCTCCACTTATTATGATCACGATTAATAATGCTGTGAAAGATTATTTTCTGGCATATAAGGCGCACGAGAATGTTAGACACAAAAGACAGTGTTTGGTTTGCAGTCAGTTGTAACGTAATGTTAGTAAACACTGCTGAAGCGTAACCCAAAGTCTACCCTTAACCTTGACTTTGAGCATATAAGGCGCAGGATGATTTTCTAAGACTTTTTTGGGGGAAAAAAGTGCGCCTTATATGCCGAAAATACGATAAGTGTGTAACTCGAATAACAAAAAGGCACAATACCGTGACTGGAACAATATACAAATAACCCGCACACAGGAGAGAGAAGCTTTTGATGACGTTTCGGTCCGACTTGGACCATTAAGGTAAGGAAACCAGTAAATAGAAGTCTGTCCGAAACATCGTCATAAGTTCCATTCTCCTGTGTCCAGGTTATTTGTCCAAGTGTGTAACTTGTATTAACTAGAGATTGAAGACTGTAAATCTGAAGTGAGAACTGACCAGCACTTTAGCATTTCTAGTTCCAGGAAAATTAAATTTTTTTTCAAGGCATTGTCTACAAAAAACATTAAGCAATTGCACAGTTGACGTGTGTGCAAGCTGCTCAACTGCCTTCAGCTCTTCGGAAATACTTGAAATACTAAAAAAAATTCTCCCAACTTTATTTCTGCAATTGAAAGCCCTTAAGTGTTGGATTAATTAGCATCTTAAATTGCTAAATAGCCCACTAGAATTATCATATTATTCACGGTCTACAGTGCCGACAAGTTGATTAATAAGACACCTGTGAAACACCTGGGTATCTTTATTAGTGGAGTGTTTCGTCTGAGCAGCAGGGATCAGTTGTACACATGTGAATATTGCACTGGAGACAGGTAGTCACGTCCTAGAATTAGTATCAAGTTCATACTTTTACTTCAGCGACAAATATGTTGTGGTCTAGTGACTCAGGAAATCGTAAATAACACGACTGTAAATAAACAACGGTACGCCCTGGAGTTTTACGACTCACTCGGTGTGGGTTCACACCCTACCCGTTCCATGGTTTAATGTATTCTCTCATGGATGACAGGATACTATACACTTAGGACAACTTTATTGGATGCATCTTGGTTCTGGGACCTTTGTCACTTTGAGCGACCAAGGTCCCAGGACAGAAACGTATCCTGTAAAGATATTCTATGTACTTACATATGCATCCTTTCGTCCATATTGTCGGTATCCGTAAATCGTCTACCTCCAGTAATCTCTCATGTCCTAGACTTCATGACCCCTTGTGATTTAGTGTTCGCGCATGACTATAATTACTATAATTACCGGACAAGGCGAGTATGTCGCGGGACTCCATGACAGGGACGCTGTAGGAGAGGTGACCGTCAACACTGTGTTGCTGCGTCTTGTAGTACAATGTTGAGATTTTAGCTGAACATCTGAGGTTCATCTGGCCGTCACGGAAGTGTTCCCGCGACACCACAAACTGCAGCCCCTTCCTCGTCTCAACCAGCCCCTGCTCTGAGTGGCTGTCACTCATGTCTATGATGTATTCCGGTGGAGCCTGACAGAGCAAAGAGGCGAGTGATGGTTAGTTGATTAATTGGAAGCTGCGGCCCCATATAGGGCACTTGATTGTTTACGCCGTGTGGAGCTCGGACACTGAAGACTACACGAGGGTCGGACCTCAATACGGCGTACACAATCAGTAGCCCTCTGAACCAAAATAAGAGAAAGTAATGCTGCAAGTAAACCTGTTCACCGCAGTTCAATAATACTTAAATTTCAAAAATAAGGATTAAAATATACTGTATTTATTACTAAAGGGTAATAACCATTTGTCAATGCTCAATAATCCACAAGGGGACAGACACACAGAAAATTGATTTGAATATTTCGATTCCCCTTTTGAGATTCTCTTCAGCATATCTTTGTATATATAAAGACACACACACTTCTCGGCGAATATATCTTTGCTATACTTTAAAATCTGAGTACCATATTACATAATAAAGAGTATTTGTCCATTAATAAAAGACATGGTGGTGAGATAAGTAGAATATTCAAAAGGCTTTAGGGAGGAATATATCAACGCCCCACAGTTTGTACTAGTAATGAATTTACATTTTACACACTTAACAGTCTAATTGATGTCATCCTACGCCAGTTAGAAAACATTTCTTTAACCTTCGTTTTTACAAGAAGTGGAATTACCTAGACAGTGAAGTGGTACACACACACACACACAAACAGCCGAGTCGAGCTGAGTCTCGACCCCTGCAACCACAAATAAGTGAGTACACACATACGTAGGCACACACATACGGAGGTACACACATACGCAGGCACACACATAACACTCAAGAGCGGTGAGTCCACCCTTGTGTATAGTATCCTATGTGTAGAGTATACCTTGTCTGAATATCCCGTCTGGGGTATCCGCTATCTGGGGTATCCCCTGTCTGGGTTATTCCCTGTCTGGGTTATCCCCTGTCTGGGGTATCTATCTACAGTATCCCCTGTCTGGGGTATCCCCTGTCTGGGGATACCTAACAGTACGTGCTCATGTTATGGTCGGCCATGTTGCTGAATGCGTTCAGAAATGCGTGAAGAAACTTGTGTAACTATTTGGGAATGCTGGGTGATAAATACTGCTCGATAATGGATGAGGTGGGACGAAAGAGAGAGAGAGAGAGAGAGAGAGAGAGAGAGAGAGAGAGAGGGGACAGAGAGAGAGAGAGAGAGAGAGAGAGAGAGAGAGAGAGAGAGAGAGAGAGAGAGAGAGAGAGAAGAGAGAGAGGGGACAGAGAGATGAGAGAGAGAGAGAGAGAGAGAGAGAGAGAGAGGAGAGGGACAGAGAGAGAGAAGGAGAGAAAGAGAAAGCTAGGGATCCTTAACCTTGTCAAACCCTGTGTAAAAAAAAAAGAATGCTCTAGTGTGGGGGGCTGTGCATAGGTAGGAATCAGTGGAGGTAGGGAAGGTTAGTGGAGGTGGGGGAGGTTAGTGTGTTTGCAAAAATAATGTCAAAGTTGGTGCAATCATTGCTGTTTAAAAAGTCAAAGAGTGAGTCTGTATTAAAGGTGAAGCTTGGTGCTTGGAGGTCAAGGTGAGTGTGAGGTCAGAGTGAGTGTGAGGAGGTCAGAGTGAGTGTGAGGAGGTCAGAGTGAGTGTGAGGAGGTCAGAGTGAGTGTGAGGAGGTCAGAGTGAGTGTGAGGAGGTCAGAGTGAGTGTGAGGAGGTCGGAGTGAGTGTGAGGAGGTCGGAGTGAACATGAGGTCAGTGTCAGGGTGCTGTTGAAAGTGACTTCCATATGCTTCTGATATGACAGACTATTAAGATACGGCAGACCGATAGCAGGTGGTGGCAACCCTCACAGAAGAGGGGCAGCAGACATCTCTCCGCGCCGCATCAATGTGCGAGTCGTGTGTTCAATTCGTAATCGTGAGAGCAGTTGTTGAAAGATGGCCTGGAGCCTAACTTCAGTTTGAAGGAAAACAATTTATGGTGCGCTAACTCGGACCAACGTTGTTGTTGTAAGTGGTTTCGAAGCTGTTGCCGGAGTATTGGAAAATAGTCTGAGAAAGGGACGCCCGTGTGGGTGACAGGAAGGCTGTGAATACCGGATAAAGCAACAGAGTCTTCGTGTTTCACTGAACATTATTGTGCTCAAAGATCCAGCATAGGAGCAACTTTGTGTTTACTAGAAATGTTACATGGTTAATAATCTTTATTTATTTATACAAGTACTTGATACAACTTATACAGACACAGGTGACATCAGTGACATAATATATAGAAAGCCCCTTGTTATGCAGAGCATTTCGGGTAACTTGGGTTATTTTTGTCCCCAGGATACCACACATTAGGCTAACACCCAAGTACCTACTTACTGTTCGGTGAACAGGGACAGTAGACGTCTTTCGCAGAGATTTCTTCCGTCTTGGGGGTTGTGGTGCAGGTGTCAAAGTTAAAGAAGACAATGAAGGCTGGAAGATGGTATAGGTGACAGCTGATGGGGTTGTTGTTGTGGTAGAGGTTATTATTGGTTCTAAGGTTGTGAGGAATAATGTATAGTTTGCCCCAGTTGGCAAGACAAACATTCTTTCCTTAAAACGTTGGATCTCATTTTTCTCGAAAGAAAACGAGACACTAACGAAAATATGTGTGTGCTTCGCTGCAGTAAGAAGGGCAGGATGGTTCATTAAGGTCTGCTGATCCGCAGACCGGGCATAACGTTTGTGATCTACAATATTTGGTAGGGTGTCCAGAGCACCAACATTTTCGGCATTGTTGGAAGTGTTTGTTTAGATCCTATTACTGCCGAGCGTTGACCTGCAATATAAATTGAGGAGAGGACGTCGCAGCAATCTGAAGTTACTTTGACTTCATTTGTTTGGGTATCGGCTCTGCCCATGGACAGCATGATGTAGTCACAGTTGCTCTTGGATATTCGGAACTGCTCTCTAATAGGATAAAAGTTTGACAGTTTGAAATGCTGTATTGTGATGGCAGTGTTGTTTATAACATGAATCTACGATCGTTTGTTAGCTTGCTCAGTATCATTGGTGTTGGTAATGCGCATCCCACTCTTCACAGAATGAGATGTTCTGTCCGAGGCAGGTCATGAGTGCTTTTCAGATGTTGTGATAAGTAAGGCACGCATCAGTCTCTCCTGTATGGAGAGAGAGAGATTTTGTTCATTGTTTTTTTTTTAAATGCTTCTAGGGGAAGAGGTTTCCAGGTACTGTGCTACTTAGTGTGAGTTATAGCAACGTCGTCAAATGTTTGTCGATGTGTTTCTGCAGATCGTCAAAGTGTAGCGTGACTTATATCAGCGTCGTCAAATGTTTATGGAGGTATCTTGGGAGTTGGCCAAAAGTCATTCTGTTCTTTGATGCATGGGCGATCCGTGAATCATTGTTGCATCGTGTTGCAAGCCGATTCCCTGGTCAGGGTAGAGAAAAGAGTTAGTGGTACCAGGAGAGATAACGAGAACACCAGTTGAGGGTTCAAGCAAACGACCGATGGCTTTAGGGTCGTTCCGAGTTCTGAGGAGAGTTTATGGCTGTGCAAGGGTTAGTAGAGGGTGTCATTATTACTGGGGATTCAGGAGACTGAGACAGTCTGGCTTATCACCATATCAAGTAAAAATGGTGGAGCATCTCTGGGAGTTACGGGAAGTCATGTCCACTCCAGACTGCGGTCCCCTCTTACCTTACCTGGTTCACATAAGGAGGGTTCAGCATACCCGCCTATAAAGACAAAAGAACCAATAACTGCAGTGAGCAAACTGGTACAAATGTCAGTAGTAGTAGTACACCTTCCTTTGCCATTCTTGGATCTGTAGGTAACGACCGGTGATACTTCCACCTTCTGAAGCCTCGTCAGATGGCCACCTGATGCTTCACTAGAGGGTCACTTGGCATGTCCTAAGATGATTCAGTTTCCATCGGATGGAGTAATGCAACACTAGCTGTGGACACGACCACCACGAACACTGCTTCAAGGCACGACCACCACAACACTACCTGTGGACACGACCACCACAACACTGCTTCAAGGCACGACCACCAGAACACTACCTGTAGACACGACCACCAGAACACTACCTGTAGACACGACCACCACAACACTGCTTCCAGACACGACCACCACAACACTACCTGTAGACACGACCACCACAACACTACCTGTGGACACGACCACCACAACACTGCTTCAAGGCACGACCACCACAACACTACCTGTGGACACGACCACCACAACACTGCTTCAAGGCACGACCACCACAACACTGCTTCAAGGCACGACCACCACAACACTACCTGTAGACACGACCACCACAACACTACCTGTGGACACGACCACCACAACACTGCTTCAAGGCACGACCACCACAACACTACCTGTAGACACGACCACCACAACACTACCTGTGGACACGACCACCACAAACACTGCTTCAAGGCACGACCACCACAACACTACCTGTGGACACGACCACCACAACACTACCTGTGGACACGACCACCACAACACTACCTGTGGACACGACCACCACAACACTGCTTCAAGGCACGACCACCACAACACTACCTGTAGACACGACCACCACAACACTACCTGTAGACACGACCACCACAACACTGTTTCAAGGCACGACCACCCACAACACTACCTGTAGACACGACCACCACAACACTAACCTGTAGACACGACCACCACAACACTGTTTCAAGGCACGACCACCACAACACTACCTGTAGACACGACCACCACAACACTACCTGTGGACACGACAACCACAACACTGCTTCAAGGCACGACCACCACAACACTACCTGTAGACACGACCACCACAACACTACCTGTGGACACGACCACCACAACACTACCTGTGGACACGACCACCACAACACTACCTGTGGACACGACCACCACAACACTACCTGTAGACACGACCACCACAACACTACCTGTAGACACGACCACCACAACACTGTTTCAAGGCACGACCACCACAACACTACCTGTAGACACGACCACCACAACACTACCTGTAGAC